CTGACTGTTGTTGAACATGCCTCCTGCCTCCTGTAGCGGGACGCGCCCGACGTCACTCAAGACACCTCCCGATGTTCGCGAGCTGCCCGGACCGCTCCAAGAAGGCCTCGGGCGGCCACGGAGCCCCGAGGGCAAATCCACCCCGACCCCCATAATCTGCGCTCACTAACGGCCCCGTGCGTTTACTAAACAGCGCTTTCTTGTTCGATTCCTTCGTCGGGTGCGTTTACTGACCGATTATGTTGCCTGGCTGTTGTTGAACATGCCTCCTGTAGCGGGACGCGCCCGACTTCACTCAAGACACCTCCCGATGGACGCGAGCTGCCTGGACCGCTCCAAGAAGAAGCCTCGGGCGGCCACGGAGCCCCCCGAGGCCCCCGGCGGCCCCTTCTCCGGGCACGCCTGGAGCGCCACGGCCCCGTGCAGCTCCCGCTCGGCGGTGGCCGTCCTTCAGGAGAGGAAAACAAAACACCCAGACACAAGCAATCGGCCATTCTCTAGAAAATATGGGAAGATCTATGGGAAGTGGGGGGGAAGACGAAGACCCAAACAACTATATGAGACATGTGGGGAATCTGTTTTATTTGTGTGTCCCGGGGTGGCCTTCCTCGCTGTGGCGCGGCGCGGCGCGCGCGCGCCGCTCCCCGGCCTGCGGGAGCGCGGCGGCGGCGGCGGGGCCGCGCCAGGGAGCGGGCGGAGCGCCGCTCTCGCCCAGGCGCCGCGCAGGCGTGCGAGCGTGTCGGATTACTGGAAGCCAAAGCGTCGTTTTCTTGTAGTTGTTGCTGTTGTTGTTGTTGTTGCTGTTGTTGCTGTTGTTGTTTGGTTCGAAACATAGTTTTAGCTATGGTTATACATATGTGTGTGTGTGTATCTGCGAAGATCGACATTTTAGCTTCCGTTTGGGGGGTGCGTGCGGTGCGGCGTCTGCCTCCCCCCCGCGCGCGTCGGAACCTTTGGCCGCCCGGCAGAACGCCAAATCTCTTGCCCTCGCCGCAGCCGTGTGTTGTTGTTGTTGTTGTTGTTGTTGTTGTTGTTGTTGTCGTTGTTGTTGTCGTTGCTGTTGTAGTTGTTGTGTTTGTTGTTGTCATTGTTGTCGTTGTTGTTGTTGTTGTTGTTGTTGTTGTTGTTGTTTTCGTTGCTGCTTATAGATATAATCATGTTTTGTGTAATGTTGTTTTTGTGTACAAGAAAATGTTTTGCACCCTCCCGTGTGCAGCCCGTGCTGCGTCTTTTCCTGCGCCGAGTCGTTCTCGCAGCGCGGCCGCGTGCGCGAGCGCCGTGCGCGTTCGTTGGGGCGCGCGCCGCGCTCTGGGTGTCGGGTTGCGCCACGGCGGGCTCCGACGTCGGGTCTGGCATGCCCTCCTACAGGAGGATTTCTTGGAGGGAGAAAATGCAAATAGTCAAAACATATCCTGGATCGCTTATGGTGGGGGCGTTGGCTAAGGAATGTGCCCAGGAGCTTTGTGGGCCCCGGCAACGGCAGGGCCGTTTTTTCACCGTTTCCCCCAAAATGTTCCTTGAATGGAAACGGCAAAAAAACGGCGACCGGAAACGGCAACAAAAACGGCTCCAGGATTGGACCCGGAGCCGGAACCGGTCACAAAACGGCGACGGAACCGGTAAAAAAAAGCGTCGGAACCGGTAAAAAACGGTAAAATTGAACCGGTAAAATAACCGCCCTGTCGTTTCCAGGGCCCACTAAGCCCAGGAGGCTTCAGACCCTGGGGGGGGGTGCTTTTTTGAGAAGGGCGGCGGTGATATCCATGGCCGATCCACGATCGAAGCTCCACTGGCTTCGAGACCCTGGATTCCTTACCCATTGGTTCCTTATCCAATGCCCTCACCGTAATAATTGCCCCGCCCCCTGGAGTGCCCGGGGGGGTTGGCCGCAGCGCGTCCGCGGGGGTGCCAGGGGGGGCTGGGGTGCGATCCCTTCCCCGCTGGGGCGCGGGGGTGGTGCCGGTGGGGGGTTGGCCGCGCCGTGTTTTCGCGTTTGTCACCCCCTAGTCGATTAATGAGAAGTTTGGAGTACCCAACAATGGGCAAGCAACATGCCCTACTTCATTCTGTCGTGACGGGAGGCACGGTGAGAGTTCCGAGAGCCCGCTGACTCGTTCGGCCTGGATCAGTTAACTCATACCTGTGCCACCAGTGAAGATCCTGCTCGTGCTCAGTTTTGCCATGCGAGCTCCTTGCGCATGCACTTGTTTCGAGGGCTTCTGCATGCTCTGCATGGACTCCTGTGCGCGTGGGTCTAGCTGAGGTTATTTGTCCTTGTGCGGCAATTCCTCACATGGTGCCCCCCAATAGTTCTGGATGTAGACCGTTTGTGGCCCACGCGGTTGTATCATTCTCACAGATCCGAATCTCCCGATCAGTATGCAATCGGCCTGGGCCTGCGGAGTAGAGGATGTGGTCGGGCTGCGGCGGGTTGATGTGATGATTTGTGGTCTTGTGAATGAGTATTCTTGTGCTGCATATGGGGCCGTGTCCCTGGGAC